TCGCACGAGACATACCACCAATTCAGATGATGACTTTACTTCATATTAGGTCAAACTTAACAGTCTCTGTCTGTTAAAAATGACAATTTCGGATGGTTTCCCTTACTACTTAAAACAGCTTTGACCAGCCTTGTAAGTGAGTGCTAACCCTCAGAACTAACCAGGAATACATCCAGTGCTTTGGGGACTTGAATGTTATGATTTTTATGGACAAAGCTTTAAGAAGCTTCTGGTAAGATGGCTACCTAGACAGACTCACTGCCACCAAGACATCAGGATGAGCATGCGCAGAAGAGACACGGAGCCCCGGATCTTTTAGGCAATGGTGGTCGAGGGAGCCGAACACACTGACAGGGAAAGAGGGCTGCACGCAGGGTCCGAATCTGGACATCGAGCAGACCAGCAAGTCCTCTGCAGACAAGGCCTGAGCCAAACTGCTCTGTGCCCAATCACCAGAAAAGGGAATAGTAAACATTTTGGCTGGCAAGCTCTGAGCCAATCAGTCCTTCCCACCGTGCCAGATGGTGAGAAAAGAAGGCTTCCCACAGGTTCCTCATACCACTCTGGTGAAAAGAGGAAGGAACGGGCCATCCCAGGGTGGTGAGCATGGTCTGAAGGAGGGTGGGGCACAAGGGACCACTGCACATTATGGAAAACTAATCAAGGGGAGGCTTCATCATCCTGGGTCCCCTATGGCTCCCAGGTCCCCAAAGGAGACCCCCACACTCATCCACTGGATGGGAACAGAGGCTGGGGTTACCCACCTGCCTCCGGAGTCCCTGGTGGACCCTCGGATTGCTCGGCGTGCCCTGGGGTGACAGCAATGTTGCCCATTGGCTAGAACTCATTACCTTTCTTCTTCGTTTGTTTTGATCAACTCCCAGCACAACCTGTAATGGTGTGAATCCACCCCGCTGCCATGTCCCACACCATCTACAAAGTCATCCACAGGGTAAGGGTCTGGGGACAGAGCAGGGGCCAGGTTTCCCCCTTGTGTTTCTCTTCTTTTGATGCTTTGTTAGACCACCAGCTGAGAGACACAGGACCAAAAAATGTGGGGGTTGGGGGGAGAATAACGGCTTCCTTCCTGCAACCCCTAGTTGACTAGATTGCGAAGGGGGCTGAGAAACTGATTAGGGGTCAGAAAAGGGGGTGCTGGACACGATGAGCTATGGGCTTGCTGAAGCGAGCAGTCCTTGGGCTGTCAGCGGGGAGGAAGCCAGCTGCAGGCCGGCTGATTGTGACTCATGGGTAGACGTGCTCCCAAGGGCTGTCAAAGTGGTGACCTCCAGAAACAGGAGGGAAAACCGTGGTTCTGAGGGTCTTCTGGGTGGGCTCAAACAGCCTACGTGCTTGTCAGCCATTAAGTCCTTAATCCTTTGCACCCCCTGGAATCCTTAGAGATGACGAGCCTTTCTGAATACAACACTGTGGAGGTAGCTTGGGCTTGCATCCTGGCCAAGTCCACAGGATTTATGTTCATGTCCATTGGAAAGTGGGATGATTGTAAAGTAGGAGTTTGGAAAGAAAACTCAATTTACCCCTATCCCAGTCTCACCTCCAGGCCTCTGACTCAGACTTTTCTAACCTGCACCTGGAAAGGCGAGATTTGGGTTCAGTTGCAGTGAAGAGAGGTGCGTGGATTTTGTGGTGAGGATGACTGAGTGATACAATAATGAGAACGAAGAGAAACCATTCAGGAATCCAAGAACAGACGTCACAGGCTGTCGGCCACTGCTCCCCCTGGACAAAGGCAGCTTTAGGGACCTCAGTGGGGAGAAGTTCCAAATTTCTACCACCATTTACATAAAGCAGCGATTCTTCCATGTTGATGTCCTGTGTGTTCCTTGATCGGTTTCCTGCCAGCAATGCCCAGACCTCTTCCTTATTTGCTTCCTCCTAGGTAAAATTCCCCCCTCGCCACCACAATTTTGTTTGAATAGTTTTGCACACACTCACGCACAAACGTACTGGGGTAGCACACATGGCTTGCACTTGACTGACAGCAGAAAGGTTGCTAGTTTGAACCCATCCAGTAGCACTGCATGAGAAAGGCCTGCTGGTCTGCTTCTGTAAGATCACAGCCATTAACATCCCTCTGGAGTGCCGCTCTACGCTGAAACACACATGCGTCACGTGAGTGCCGCTCTACGCTGAAACACACGTGTCACGTGACTTGTACTTGGCAGCAATTTGTTGTTGTTCTTATTCCTGTTTGTCTTGGTTTGGGACACACACACACACACACACACACACACACACACACGACACAGGTGTGGGCAGGAACTGGTCAAGGACCATTTTCTCTAGAATGTTGAGCGTGTCCCTGGAGGTTCGCTTTTTAAAATTGTACCTTTCCTTGTTCCGTGTCCCCCCAGGACTGAGGAAAATGAGGCTAAGAGCTTAGTTAGATTATGTACGTTTATCTCAAGCCATTTTGGCTTCTGTGCATGACTGCTTCACTCGTGGTGAGTTATTTACTCCAGAAACTCCTCACCATCCCTCCCGCTCTTGTCCCCACCCGACGTCACCTATAAACCCTTGCATCCGTTATTCTCGCTATACATCCACTCCTTGTGTGCTTCGCATACGGGGAAATCCAACAGAAGCAATAAAAATAGAAATAAAGTGGTAAGGATAAACTAATAAAAATATAATGATAAAAATACAAATAATGAGTAATAAAGAAAAGACCATCCTCAATATGTGAAAATCCATGGCAGAAATGTTTGTCATGGATCATGTAAGAGATATTTGCACCTAGAACACATTCAGGTTGGATCAACAGGGAGGTCAGATGACCATGTATCAAGTTCAATCCAGCATATTCAGGCTGTTTGGGAGCCTTGCCTTTGGCTAATGGGGATCTGCCAGCAACTTAATCAGGCTAGATACCTGCAAATAGGTTTTGGGCTCCCACTGTCCTCTGTAGCCTTCTAGAAACTGGATGTTTGCAATTTAGGCTCTGATACTTTTCCCTTTGTCATATTTGAATTTTGTTATTGTCGTCTTTGGATCACACAAACTGGCGTGCTTCTTGCATGTGGACTTAGTTGACTCCTCACTTAGATGGCTGCTTGTTTGAATACAAGCCTTTAAGGCCCCAGACACTATTCTGAATGATAGCTGGTCACTGTCTGCTTCCTTCATCACACTTTGCTGTAGCACCCGGTGATCATTTCATGAAGGTGAGTCTCAAGTGGGGCCATGCAGTCAGAAGGAACTCTGCTTGGATTGGGGCTAGAGTTAAGAGGAGCCCAGAATCCAACTGCATGTCCATCGGATATGCATGACTCAGGTTTACTTCGGTGGCTGAATTATGACAAAATCAAAACCCCATAAGAGAAACTACTAACGACAGCAAAAAGCCAACCAGCAAACAAACAGGCGTAAACCAAACCAAAACAAGCTGAAGGCAGGAAACCACACAGCCATGGAAACAAAAAAGCACAGCCTTGTCAATCATCCCCCTGGGGTACCAGGCAACTGCACTGAGAGCACCATCATTTTCCCAGTGACACAGTCCTCCACACACTGTCGGTATGAAGTGTCTATGTGAGCACAGCTCCACTGTGAGTTGTTACCCTACACAGTTCGACCTCGGTGCGATTGTGCTCTTTAAGCATGGGGATTGGTGCAGGGGTGAGGGACCTTCCTGGATCCATTCTTAAAAGTGCGGACCCCTGCCCAACAGATTGAAACCTGTCATGTTACCGCGAGGGGGGCATCGAGGCACTAAATATATGGTGATTCTGGACACCCACCAAGCCAGGGGTTCCCCCTGCACCCCAAGGTCCAATGACTGCCACGTCTACAGTCCCAGTTGGCCACTCCCTGTTTCCTCTCCCCTCTAAGTATCCCCATCCTCAGTCCCAGGGGGCACGCAGGCAGCTTCGAGGCAGGGCTCAGTCCATTCAGCGGGGCCTCTATGTTCAGTCCTTCTGGTGGAGCCCCTGCGCTATGTTAGGCCATGCTGCCTGCAAGGTCAGCTTCCACGATCATGTGCTTAGTCCATAGCGTGGCTCACCGAAGGTTGAGTAGAAACATATTCGTAGCATCTACCTAAGAACCTAAAATCTGGCCCGTTGTCCCCCTACGTTCCTTACACTCCTTGTTTAGCATCCCTTCCCGATGTGAGGTTACTTCTCCCCAATCACCCACCGGACTCACCATCAAAAGTATCAGCGTCTTCTCCAAAATGTAGATGGTGCCCTCCCCCGGTCTTAGCCTGGTTTTCTGGCAAGATCCTCCTTCCCTTCCTGTGGGGGCCCATTGATTTGCCCCTGCCTTGTCTCGATGCTGCTTAGCTCAAGTGGATGGTCATCTCCCATTTCCGCCTCTTGAAGGAGGTACCCCAGGCAATGTGAGGTCTTCCCTTCAAGTCGGCTCTTGTGAAGTATGCAAAAGGGAGGTGACGTAGGGGTCATGGCCGGTAGGTAGTCTTCTCAACCTTTGTTCAGGAGTTGGTCCCTAAGATTTGTTTAACAGATGTTTCTCTTGATAGTAGTGGACTCATGCAATACTTGTCCTTTTGTGATTGACTTACTTCACTCAGCATGATGTTTCAGGTTCTCATCACAGTTTCTTAGGGATGCCTAGTATTCCAGTGTGGGTATGTATCAGTGTTTCTTTACCCATGCTTCCGCTGTTGGGCATGGGGGCTGCTTCCAGTTTCTTGCTGTTGTGAACTGTGCTTTTATGACATGGGAGAGCATACCTCCACCCAAGTTGTGTCTCTTATTTGCTCAGGGTATATGCCTAATAGTGGTATTGCTGGATCATGTGGGATTCCAGTTCTCAATTGCTCTAAGTATTGCCGGATCATTTTCCACAGTGGCTGTGTGTATTTACAAGTACATGTATTTACAGCAGTGTATGCGAGTTCCAATCTGTACACATCATCTCCAACATTTGTTGTTTTTTTCCTTTTTTGATTTGGGCTAGCATTGTAGGTGTAAAGTGGTATCTCATTGTGGTTTTAAATTGCATCTCCCTGATGGCTAGTGATTGTGAGCATTTTTTCATATGTGCGTTAGCCATTTGCACTTTTTTTTTTTAGTGAGTTATCTGTTCATATCCTTTTCCCATCTCTTAATTGGGTGTCTTGTCATTTTCTTATTGAGCTGTTGTAGCGTTCTGTATATTTTGATAATCAGCCCTTTGTCCAATGAGTCGTTGGTAAGAACTGGAAATCCTGTTTGTCCAGCACCATTTGTTGAGGAGGTTGTCTTTCTCTCGATAGATATTTCTTGGGTTTTTTCAAAGATTAGGTGGCTGTAGGCTGATGCTTTGACGCTTGGGTTTCTGTTCGGATCCATGTGTCTTCCATTGTGCCAGGACCAGGCTGTTGGACTGCCACGGCTCTGCCATGGGTTTCTAGGTCAGGGAGTGCTAGGCCTTCTGCTCGGGTCTTCTTTGCTTATCCTGGGTCTTTTGATTTCCCATATGACATTGGTAATTCGTTTTTCCATTTCTCTAAAGGATTTATTTGGGATTTGAATCGGTATTGCATTGTATCTGTAGATTGTTTTAGGTAGTATTGTCATTTTTCACATTATTAAGTCTGCCTGTTCATGAGCATAGGATATTCTTCCATTTATATAGGTCCTTTTTAGTGTCTTGTAGTAATGTTCTGTAATTTTCTCTACATAGTTCATTTGTTTCTTTTGTTAAGTCTACTCCTAAGTATTTCAACTTCAGCATGGTTATTGCAAATGGTATTGATTTCTTAGTGTCTTTTTCGTAGCTCCCTTTGCTGGCATATGGGGATGCAATTGATTTATGGTTATTAACTTTGTATCGTGCTACCTTGCTGAACTCCTCACTTGTTTCCAGCAGGCTCTTTGTGGGGGCTTCTGGGTTTTTTGTCTACAGGGTCATATCATCTGCAAACAGTGACAATTTCACTTCTTTTCTTTGCCTATTTGTAGTCCCTTGAGTTCTTTGCTGTCTGATGACGCTAGGTACAACTTCCAGCATGATGCTGAATCAGAATGGTGAGGGGGAATCCTTGCTTGGTCTCTTTTTCCACTGGGGTGTTTGTAGCTTTCCCCCATTGAGCATGATGCTTGCTGTTGGTTTCGCATATATGGCTTTTATTATCTTGAGGAATTTTCCTTCTAATCCTATTTTCCTGAGTGTTTTGAACAGAAACGGATATAGAATACTGTCAAATGCCTTTTCTGAATTGATTGATAGGATCACGTGGGTTTTATTTCTTGCCTTCTTTGTGTGATTGTTTTTTGAAAATGGAACCATCCCTGCATACCTGGAACGAATCCCAGTTGGTCATGGTGAATTATTATTATTCTTGTATATGCTGCTCTATTCCGTTGTCTGTTAGGATTTTAGCATCTCTGGTCATCTTGGCGGGGTCTGTGCCTGGGTTGGGTAACAGTGCTATGCTGGCTTCACAGAACGTGTGTGGGAGTCTGCTGTCTTTTTCTATGTTCTGGAAGCGTTGCTGTGGTATTGGTAGCAGGTCCTCTTTGGATATGTGGTGGAATGCCCCTGTGAAACCACCTGGTCCTGGACTTTGCTTGGTGGGTAGTTTCTCAATAACCAGGTCTAGCTCTTGTTTTGTTATGGGTCTGTTGGGTTTTTCAACATCACTGCTTAACATTCTTGTTCTTATTCAAATGATTCCAGGCTACAGAAGAAGGGAAAAAAAGTGAGTAAAATTGTAAATTTGGCTTGATTAGTGATTTATAATCCAGGTAGAAATAAAATGTATAGTTCATATTCAAAACATGATAGAATAGAAAATATCTCATTGACACTACTAGGGAAGACGTTATACATTAAATAATGTCAAACAGGACATATGACATGTTGCTCAAGACTTATCTGTACTGTGGACTTTCTGAATAGGTTTTACCATTTTAACCAAAATCAAATCAACATTAGTATTTTAGCAGATTAAGTAGCAGTAGTACATTAGTCTGGGTAGACCAGAGAAACAAATCCATAGAAACTCATATGTATATAAGAAAGAGGTTTATATATAAGAGGAATTGAACATTTAGAAAACATCCCAACCCAGTCCAGTCCAAGCTCATAAGTCTGATATTAGCCCATATGTCCAATACCGATCTATAAGGTCCTCTTCAGACTCACGAAACACATGCAATGACTCTGAATGCAGGACAATCCCAGGCCAGTGGGCAGAAAGTCTTTGGGTCCAGTGGCATTGTAAGCATTTCAGCACAGGCAGGGCCCTCTATGTGGCTTCTCCAGCTCAGGGCACTAGCGTAGTTCCATGTTCTTGTCAGCTGCAGTGCTCCCAGGGAGTGAGCAGAGTCTCTCCCGCCTCCAACAAGGAAAAACCAGATTTCCCAGAATTCTCAGGAGCAAGCCATGCCTGCCCACACAGAGGCCTCATTGGCTATGATCCAATTGACAGACTAGACACTACCCCTTCACTCTTAATCCTCTCGAGTCCCAAATTGACAGCAGATTATGTAATTACCACAAGTAGTATCAGCAGGATAAAGTAAAGATACATTTCCACCTCTTCTTCAGAATTGGTCATTTATGCAATCAGTAGAAATAAGTGTCATTACTGAGATGGAGTTGCATCATTCAAAAGAGAACCTATTTCAATAGGATAAGATCCCAAATTCTGAACACAAGGTTAGATCAATTTATGGGCAAAGCAGTTCTCAATAAATGGTAAGATATCTTTCTGATTTGATCATTTTCTACACAAAACACTGAAATGCGGCTTGTTTGAAACATATTGCTGTTCCATCTACATAGGCTAGACAATAGACACTTGAGGCTCTCAGAGAGAACATGAGATATTAGAGTTTGAGTAGAGATGAGGGAAGTAGGAGCGGAAAGAAAGGGATGGAATTCCAGCAATATTTGAAGAACAGACTCAAAGAGACTCACTGAATCTTGGGCGGGCAGGGAAAGGGGGAGGTACAAGTGCCAGTAAGGTTCTGTTACCTGGACGATGACTGAGTAGGTTCCACAGAGAATCATGGAGAGTTGAATGGCTCCTCTGATGAGGCAAACAATCACTTGAAGCCCACTGAGGGTTATGAGAATGGAAAATAAAATGATGTTCCACTCAACCACATGCGCAGGTTCCAGGCACCGACTCCATGTGCTGGAATCTGTAAGAAAACTGTCAGAAAAGAGGGGAAGTGGTCACTCACACCAATGGCTCAGTCTCTACAGAGTATGCACTCCAAAGAAGATGGTCCCAGGTATTGTTGTATACTCATGAAGTCTATACTCCAAGAACTCACTGCCATCGAGTTGATTCCAACTCACGGCGACCCCATGGGACAGAGTAGAACTGCTCCTGAGGGTTTCTGAGACTGTAACTCTTAAACTCTTTATGGGAGTAGAAGGCTTCATATTTCTCCCTAGGAGTGGCTGAGGGTTTTGAACTGCTGGCCTTGTGATCACAGCCCAACTTGTAACCAGGGATCACACAAACATATGATAAAAATATGAGGGGGCACCCCCCCAAATAAACAGAATTGCACTGGGCAGAGCGGAGCTTTCGTAGTACACATTTGTTCCATTAAGCAAGCATTGAGCAATATGGTTTGAATGCATGCACCCAGTGGCATCATCTGGGAAGGTTCTCTCTGGTGACAGCAAATTTTTTCATAAAAGCCGTTTCACTTGAGCCTCATTTTTTTTGTGAGGGCCGATTGAAGAGCATGGTGTGCTGCTGTGAAATTTTGTTTCCTGCTCAGGAAAAATGCCACAGAAAGTGCTGTGATGTTGAACCCAGCTTCAATGGACAGTGCCATGGGAGAGACTCAAAGGTACAAATGGCTTTCTCACTTCCAAAGGGGTGAAACGTCAATTGATGACAAGTCTCGTTCTGGACATCTGTCAACTTCCCAAACAGATGAAAATGTTGACGTGCAATGCATTTGGAGTTCATTCCACCAGGTCAGACTATTAATCAAGCTTTCTATTCAGAGGTTCTGAAAAGATTGGGTAACGGCGTGCAACAAAAAGAGGCCCGTTTTTTTTGGCAGATGGGGGACTGGTTTTGCCACCCTACAATGCACCTGCTCACACAGCCATGCCAATACACCAATTTTTGGCAACAAACAGCATGTCTCTCTTTCCCTGACCTTGCTCTGTGCAACCTCTCTTTGCTTCCACGAGTGCAGAGGGACATGACAGGACAGCAACTTCACGACAGAGAGGAGGTGAGGAAAAAATGAGGGAGGTGCTGTCAGCCGTCCACACACGAGTTTGAAAAGTATGTCCAAGAATGGAATTGCAGATTTGACAAATGTAGTAAGTGGTGATGGAGAGTCCTTTGAAAGTGATAAGGTTGTGTTGTAAAAAAAAAATTAAATACATAGCTTTGGGGGGAAAATCAGTTTGGGGGCATATCCCCTCGTATACCAGGATATTAAATGTTGATTAGTGCATTGTAATAATCATTATATACATAGTTTGGTGTGCACCTAGCACTGTGGAGGCCCTAACTCACTACTAGCATGGTAGCTGCCTCATATACAGCTCTGATTTGTTAGGAGTGAAGCTGGACATCGAAGAGTTCGGCAGCGAGGTAACAGGGAGCATGTCAGATGGAAGACGAGAGGGAGAAGTTAGTCGGGGCTGTCAGGGTTGGGCTTGAGAATTGCACATTCAACAAAATAAAAAAGAAATCCTAGTTGAAATCTCTAGATCCTGTCCCAAATCTCTTTAGAACAGACTCCAAACTTGAGCATCCCAAATCTCTTTAGAACAGACTCCAAACTTGAGCATGCGTCAGAATTACCTGAAAGACTTGTTAAAGCTCAGATGGTTGACCCCAATCCCAGTTTCTTATTCAGAAGGTCTGGTGGAAGCTCAACAATTGGCATTTCTAATAAATCCCTGGGTGCTCTGGCAGCACTCTCTGGTAATTGTTGGACTGCTAACTGCAAGGTTAGCTGTTCAAACCCACCAGGCACTCCTTGGGGGAAAAGATGAAGCTGTCTCCTCCTGTCAAAATTTATACGACTTGACAACTCTACAGGGCCATGAGGATTCAGAATCCACATGACGGCAGTGGGTTTTATACGTTCCCAGGTGAGCTGATGTTCTTGGCCTGGGGTCACATTTTGAGAACATCTGCTTAAAACCCTGCTTTTATTTAGCTGTTAAGTTTGAGATAATGAGGTGGCAACCGACAGGACCAAACAGTTTCATCAATCTAGTTTGAAACTGGATTATGAGAGATGCCAAGCCAGAAAAACATCTCTCCCAGAATGCTCTTGAAGCCCCGAAGAATCCACCTGTGGGCTGATGCTCCCTTCTGAGGCAGCCAAGGTCACACCCGAACAGTAACACGTGGCTGCGTGCCGTCGAGGGGTCCTGGTCCCAGGGAGGAGGTGACTGTCATTTTCAGGATACTGCCACTGCCAAGCCCTCTTCTCTCTTGCTCCATTCATTTCCCTTGCTGCTGCTTCCCCATCTTTTCTTTGCCCTTCCTTTGGCTCTTCTCCCCGCTCTTTTTCTTTACCAGGTTCCAAAGGAGGCCTGGTTGCGCAATGCTTAAGCGCCCCACAGTTGACTGAGGGGTTGGGTGCAGCGCTGTGAGAGGAGCCCTCGGAGCAGTCTGCTTGCGTAAAGACGGCAGCCCGAGAAGCCCTGCCAGAGTCACCGTGATGGCAAACAGGAATCGCCTGCCCCAGGGCTCAGAGGCGCTGGGACATCTTCTTAATCTTCCCGATGGCCTCCACAGCGGGTGTGGAGCCAGCATTTCTGCATTCAGGCGACTTTGGGCAGGAAAATTTCCCTATCCGACCTTGGGCGTTGTATGTGGACAATGGGGATTAAAATACCTAACTCCTGGGTTATTGTGAGAGGTAGCCAAAACTACTTCGGATCCTGTAAAGCGTGTGATTTTTCTGTTAGGATGTCCCCAGATCCATCTCCCAAGCTTGCAGGCACGCTTGTCCTGCCAGCACCTGCTCTAGGCTGTTTTCGTGATGTGATGGGCTCCGCATGGATCCACGGAGGAGCCGGCTCTTCCAAACAAGATGCCATGCCAGGTTCCGACTCGCCTCCCAGACCATGGTTCTGTTTATTCTTCTGTAAACCACGGAGGGTCATGAAGTAGACGAGGCAGGCCTGGTAGGAGCAGGAAGTTTTCCCAGATGCCTGCTTCACACACTGCTCTAAGGCCGCATTTTCACAGCACTTTCTAACTCTCTTTCTCTATCGCTGTTTCCTCCTTGGGCAGCATGCACTGAGAGCACAGAGCCTGTTAGAATTGCTGCTGAGGGGTCAGCGCTAAGCCCTATAGCAGTGACTTCCCAGTTAAAGGTGGTAAATGTCAATGAAATGAATTGGGATCCATCCCCATCAACCACAGCTGTGGCTGAAGCTTGGTCCCCTAGCCGATTGTCACCTGGCATATGAGGTTAATCATAAAATCTGGCATGTTTGCGGGTTTCCTCACTCCCATTTTGCATGAATTCTGTGAGGTGGGAGTGATGACCGCCCACAATTTAGGCAGACACTTTTCTAAGATCATAGAGCTTATAACTAAGGGGCGGGGGACCTGCACCAAATCCATAATCAACTAAGACCTGTGCTCAGAGGTCATTGGTCAGGCGAAGTGCTGGGTCTCTGGGAATTCTCAAGAGAGCAGGCAGATGTAGAACCTCCCTTTGACTCTCGAGCACCTCATCCAAGACCTGCACATGGTTGGCGCCCAAGAAACGATGGGTGAAGAAATACAGACACAACTATCTGACACGCACAACTTCAATCCTAACACCTGCTCCACCCCAGACCAGCCCCAGACATTCTCCAGGAGACCCGAGGCGAAGCTTCCCTGCACGCAGGGCCTCCATGCAGTGCTTGCACCATTCACATTTTTCAATAGGTGGAAACACACACCGGAGCAGCTCAAAGGCACGATGGGGAGGCCAGCGGGCAGCCTGTGATCCGTTCATTGGAAGAGGAGGCTCCTGTGGCTTAGGGGTGAGGGGGTGGGAAGTAAAGTGTTGATGATCTAAAAACTTCTCATCTTTTGCACCTTGTCAAGTTCCTGGAGTGGCCCCAAAGTTGTAGCTCTGAAGCCCCCACCCCGCAGCAAGCACTGTGGAGGAAAGGCCTGGCTACCTACTCTCTAAGAGCCTGGCCATTGCCAACCCGAGGGAGCGGTCCTACCCTGAAACGCACGCTGACCCATGTGTCCGAATCCACTCGGGGCAGCAGGCTTGGGCATCGTGGGGCTTTCTTTCGGAGAGTCTTCTGTAAGAGGACTGTCCAGCACACAGGAAGGCGGAATTTTTGCAGGAGGCCTTGAAGAGGTGATGCTGAACTGTGTGGAGAGCTCTGCTTTCTAAAAGAGGCCACACCACGTGGCATCTTGTGGAACCTTCAGGAGGAAGGCGGCCATGTGCCACCGAAGCGGTTCTTCTGTGTGGCCTGGGTGAGTGGTGAAGACCTCAAATCAGCACGATGCTTGAATGATAGAGCCAATCCTGGGGACATGTGACGTCCACAGTGGATGGCAAAAACAGACACTCCCTGAATTTCATTCTGTTAGAATTCGGAGCACAGGATACAATAGGGAAACTATCACTGGGCCTTTCCCGAGCCTCTGAGAGCCACGCACCCTGAGCTGCCTCGGCAGGGCTGGTGGCCTAGAAAACCAGTAGGAGATCCAGGTGAGGCCTTCGATGGTCCAGGAAGTAACCCCTCGATATCAGTGTTCTGAGCAAGTCTACCCCCTTAAACAATTCTTGGGTACCTGTTAGATAAACTTTTGGCTCCTGGCACAAATTCTTGTATCTTGTCTTGTCCCAGTTGGCACTGTCTAGCGCTTTCTCCATCAAGGCCCTGGCAACCCCAGCGCCCGCCAAGGGCACTGGGCTACTCTCCCAGCCAAGCCCCTTCACAGCCATCACCCACCACATGCCCAGTCTGGCCATAAACCAAGGCTGGGCTGTTCGAATCACTCAGACCACAGTAACCACCAAGGCCTCCCCTGAAGACTGGGAGAAACGCATCATCCATGTAGATGTGCCCATGGCAGCACGCATGGTTTGAATGGACCTGGAAGTCAAAGACGGGAGGGACAGCACCTAAACAAACCTGGGTTGGGGGAAACATCCAGACTGATATTAGTAAACCTACAGGAAAAGTCTGCCCTACAGCAGCCACATTGAACCCTAAAGAATTGTGGGAAACGGGCCTGAGTGAGAAGCCAAGTGTATCTGCCTTGCAGAGCACTTTGATTTGGGGATTTCCTTACCGTCCGGTAGAAGCTTCGAAGGCGTATTCCCAGCCATTGCGGGTGCGGCAGTACGGGCCCTGGACAAGACTCAAAGCAGATATGACCAGGCAGTATCCAGAGGAAGCAATCCCAAGGGCAGAAAAGATCATCAACAGTGCTGTCTAAATGAACACGAGAGAAGGTCAGCGTCGCACAATGGACCTTTCGTGGACAAATGAGCCACTCGGTGCATTGCTCTACCCGCCCAGGACTGCCGCACGCCACCTCGTACCAAATTCCAGGTAAAACCGGGAACATTTAATCCAATAACATCTTTAAAAAAAAAAAAAATTCTTAAATGTCGTTAGGGAAGTTAGGGAATTTACCAGTCACTCAGGGATCATTTCTTACAGAGGGCAGGGAAGGGGTAGATGCCATCAACCTATCATAAGCTTGCTCTTCTCTAGGGAGAATGGATTCTCTGTGTATTGTCATCCGAGCTTCTTATTTCCTCGTGAGAAGATGAACTTGGCATACCTTGTATAGTGCAATGGAAGAAAACATGCGAGGCCCTAGCCTAGCGAGTCACGTTCATGCTTAAATTCACATTCCAGTTAGGATGGGATTGATAGGGGGATGGTGTTTTCGTTCAAGTAAAGAGAAGGAGCAAGGGTCAGAGGTAGAGCCATGCGGAGCTAAGAGACAGGAGGTAGATGGATCCAATCTATTACGTGTGTCCATACGGATACGAAAGGAGGTCAGGCTGTGTTTGGAGGTAAAGGTTGGCTTGCTAACCACAAGGTCCTTGGTTCAACCCCACCAGATGAGTTTTCCTGCTCCTGTAAAGATTAATAACCTCAGAAACTCAATAGAGGGTCACTATGACTTTAAACCGATTCAGTGACAATGGAAATAGAGACCTGGGTAGAGAAAATGGTAGAACACGATCCATTCCTTGAGAAGCTTATGAGGGGAGCACAGTTTATAAGGGTTAGGGCAGATTTCATGGAAATGACCTTGAATGGCAGGTCAAGGAGTTTGGCTTTCTCTCTTCAGGGCAAGGGGCTTTTCCCTAACCTTTTAATATAAGAATCTGCAAGTTGAATAATTAAAAGCATAGTACAAGGAATCCTTATATACTCTTTATCTTGCAGCCAACAAGTAAATGCTGACTCATAGTGACCTCCTGCGGGTGTCAAGGACTGTTACTGTTTATGGGAGTAGAAAGCAGTCTTTCTCCTGTGGAACTGCTGGTGGTTTTGAACTGCCAACCATGAGGATCGCAGCCCAGTGTGTAACCGCTACTCTCACCAAGGGCCCTGCTCTCTCTCTCTTTTTTCTAACAGTTTCGTTGGTATTTAATCCACATATCACATAATCCAAGAGTTCAATCATAACAAGAAGAGTTGTACATTCAAGACCACAATCAATTTTATAACATCCACGCCCCCCCTACTGCTAAGATACTTTAAAAATGAATTGTGTAGTCATCATCAGTTCTATAGAGCACTCCCCCGCCTTCTCCACATTCATTGTTGGCTCCCTCAGCCCCCTTGCCCTCCCTGTCCCCCACCCCACCCCACCTCCCCATAAACTCTCACACCAGTTCTTGTCTCTGCGCCCTACTCCTTCTGCGCTTCACAAACTGGAAAACCAAGCAGAAATAATAAAAAACAGAAAGAAAGTGGTATGGATAGCATAATGATAACAATACAGAGATAAAAATACAAATAGTGGGTAAAAAAGGAAAGACTTCCATGAATATTTAAGAAGCCGGGGAAGAAATTTTTGCCATGGAACAAGCAAGTAATACACCTAGAAGTAGCTCGTGGGATCTGCCAGAGGCTTAACGACTAGATACTCTGCAGATGGGCTTGGGCTCCCACTCCCCCAATAACCTTCTACAAATTGGATGTTCATAATTTTAGCTCTTTGTCATATTTGAATTTTGTTATTGTCATCGTTGGATCAGACACGTGGGTGAGCTGCTTCCATGTGGACTTAGTTGACTTCTCGCTTAGATGGCTGCTTGTTTGAATGTCAGCCTGTAAGGCCCCAGGCACTATTCCAATTAATAGCTGAGCACCACCTGCTTTCTTCACCACACTTTGCTGTAGCACCCTTATCTTCAGTGATCCTTTCATGACGGTGAGTATCGAGCAGGGCCATGTGATCAGAACTAACTGCTCTTGGACTGGGGCTAGAATTCAGTTGGGGAGGGCCCCGACTCTTTACCTAGACTCACCTATTGTTAATATTTGGAAATATTTGCTCTCCTTCTTTAAGCACACACACATATATATATATATACTCCCTGAACCTTTTGCCAATAAGTTGGACAGCAACTTCAATGAACTTCCCCTCTGAATGCACCAGAACTCATCTGTTAAGAATAAAGATGCCTCAGATAACCACAATATTATTTGTGTGCCAAAGAAACTTAACAATAATTTCCTTATATTATCTCACTTCTACCGTGAAGCCTGAAACTCCAGGCTATGCAAATGATTAACAAGTACTTGGCTGCTGGCCAAAAGCTTGGGGGATTCAAGTCCATGCAGAGGCATCTCAGATGACAGTCTGCTGGCCTGCTTCTGAAACACAACCTGTCGAAACCCCTGTGGGGTTTACTGACATGCACGGAGTTGGCACGAGTCTGAGATGATGGTTGGTAATCTGTGGATGTTCTCCCCCTTATCCCCTAAATACATTTTAGAGTTTAAAACAACAACAACAGCACACATTTACATCTCTTGAGTTGCCTTTAGTCTGCGATAGTCTGTCATTTTGTTTTTTATTCTATTGAATTTTTTTCCTTCTTTTTAGGAATCTTGCCCAGTAGGTTTTCTGGTGATACTGCAAGATGGCCTTCAGGGGATGCATTTACACAGGAATTCTACCTTGGTGGGGTGTGCAGCAGGAGGCTCCTCAGGGCAGCTTAGCTTGCTCTGTAGGCGTGATGCTACGTTGGCTTTCTGAACTAAGCCCCTCCAACTCTTTCCACTGTAAACAGCATGCTTCTTGTTTTGTGATTAGGAAGAGGGGGTTTCCGAAGCTTCGTGGGGAAATAGAATTTTAAAAGGTGATGGAAAGTATCTCATACCTCGTCTGTGAGGCAATGACCTGGCTTCTGCGTCCAACCCTGCTCCCAACAACATGTCAGAGGTGGAGTTGTGTCCACTGGTGACCCTCAGTTCCACCGATGACCAATGATTCCACTGGAGTTGCAATGTGCTGCTCCTCTCCGTCTATCATTCCTTCTGGATTTATAAATGACTGTTCTTCTATGCAGCATATCTTCCCTGTTTTCATGTCTTCCTCCCCTACCTGTTTCTCTCTGTATTGGGCAGGCTCCTGGATCCAATGTGCTGGCATCCACAAGTGCCACTATTTTTCCAGATGCACAGAAAGCCCCCAAATCTGGCCAGTGGAAACATTCCTTCAAGTCACTTCCTGTGTATTTTGGCATGCCTCCATTATTTGAATGCTTTCTTGTTATCTGTTACAAGATATATTAGGTTACTGTATGACACGTGGATGAAGTGCTAATAAAACTGTTAAAAAATTTAAAAGATACATTAGGCTCCCTTTCAGCTGGCCTTGCCCCAAGATCTGAAATAAGCTTTTCTGTCCCCCCCTGTGGTAGTTACAGAATTTCTTGTCAACTTGATTAATAAGTATAGGGGCGGAGTCTGGCCTGTCAATCAGGTCACAGCCTGATGATGCCTTCTTGTGGGTGTGGCCTTCTCATGAAGATTTTGGAAACTTCCTCTCTTTCTCCCTGGAGGTGGGTCACATACTCTCTCTCTGGTTCATCTTCCTGTTAAAGAGTCACACTCAGGAGCTGGAGAAGCCCATGGAGACCTGTGCCACTGCTGAGATGCTTCCACCGCCATTGGATCCCCAAGACTTTGCACCCACCAGCCTGTGATCTCCCTGCATTGTGCATCATTGCATGTGCTGCCTGAGTCTGAAGAGGGATTTATGGACCAGTGTCAGATATATGGACTTGACCTGGACTGGGCTGGGAGGTTGTTTCAATATACTATTGTTCTTTGATATAAAATTATCTCTTACACATATATAAGTGAGATAGTTTATTGTGCCAGCCTAGCCGATAAACACAA